GGTCGGCCCCACGGAGTGCTGGGAGGAAAGGACGGGTTAGGGTGTGGAGGGGTGAGACTTTGGGGGTGCCTGGAGAGAGTTGAGACCCTGAGGTGGGGGTGAGGGCGACGTCTGGGCAGCAGTGAAGACAGGAGACCGGAGCCTGCCAAGTTGGGGATCCCAACCTGGCCCCTGGGTCTCCCCCCATCCCCCTGTCGGCCGACTTACCGCACAGGTGTCCCTGGTGCCATCCAGCTGCCCAGCACACAGCATGGTAGCGGTGATCTTCTGGGGGTAGGCCATGGCGCACACGTCATTGGCAAAGACCCTGAGGTCCACACAGCGCAGTTCATCGGGGTACTTTTCTACAAGCCAGGGAGAGGCAGGGCTGTGCGGACCCGGCTTGTTCCTCATCTGGCACCCCTCCGGGCCAAAAGTTCTGAACATCTACTCCATCGGTGGTTGACCCAAAACCTGCACCTGGGCGTCTCAGCCCCCTCCTCAGCCTTCACATTTGTGAGTTAGAGAGGAGCCCCAGTTGCATTCTCATAATTAAGATGAATCCCCACAATATCCTCCGATCATAGTTCTACCTTAAAGTGGCCTCTTATCTGGCGGGCAGCGTTATCTGTAGGAGCAGACATGTGGCTATTGCTCTCCCTGCTCAGGGGACAGTTACTCCCCTTACCTGCCCCCAGCACTGGCGTTAGGTGAATTCAGGGAACTTTAGGATTAAGATGCTGCCTACTTTGCTATGTATGTGGTTGCCTCTAATTAAGGGTTTGCAGGCCCTGAGACTACATAAGTTGGTGTAAGAATACATTCTCTCTCTTTCTCACTCGGACCTGGTTCCTAGTGCTATGGAGGAGGGGAGCACCCCAAAACTTTGGTCTGCCTCTTCATGTCACCCCTTCAGTTCCACAACCGTCCCTTAGGACAGCTCCCACACCTCCTCCCTCAGGCCCAGGAGTTCAGCCTCCACTCAGCACCCTTGGTCTCACGCTCACTGGCTTCTGGATCGGTGCCACCCCAGCCCGAGGGAGGCAGGTGCTCCCCACTTCAGGGTCCTCGGAGGGCAGGGCAATGGTCTGCACGGCCGCTGTGATCCGCATCGGGCTGGAGAGGCACAGCAGCATGAGGTCGTTGCTGTAGGTGGCCTTGGGTGCCGGGGACTTGAACTTCAGGAGGCTCATGTTGAAGCCCGGGTGGGGGGTGTCCAGGTTGACTTTGGAAAGCTGGCCTGTGATTTCCTGCTCTTTGAGGTTGTGGTTGCTTGGGGGCAGAGAGAGAGGGAGGGAGAGAGCTGAGCTGGAGGGATGAGGAGAAGAGAAGAGGGGTGGGGGGGTGGGGCATAGGGCAGATAGAATGGGGGAGGGGGAGAGAGAGAAACCACCACAAAGGCTAGGAGGAAGCCAGTCACAGAAGGGCAGAGCAGGGCCCTGGAG